TCAGGATGGTATCTGATCATTGAAGAATCAGTATATTACTATTAGAGAACATTTAGGATTAGGCATGAGGCCCTGATCGTTGACACGTACAAGCTAAGAATTGAAGCTACGACTCAAGGACAGACCTTGTGATTTAAAGCGCACGCGTTAAACCATTCAGCCACTCAAACCTCTGAATCGGTATATTATCAAAAAAATTGTCTATCGATACTATACCTTGCCATTGGTGTGTCAGTTTTAACTTTAAAGAATTGTATGCTATTCTATGCAGTAATGCCTCCCTAGATCTTCCCAAATCCAAGTCCACAGTAATTTGTGTCGTGCACGGAGTCAGAAACTTTAACTACATCTAGAACACCCTGTATCACTTATCATATATTTATATTCAACTATTTAGGCTGTACGTTTGTGTTAACTAAATCAATGATAAATCAACTGTATCGGACACGGGTTTGGGTACTGTCATCAAGAACATCCAATATCACTCCTCGTGTACGCTGTATACGCTTAATTATATTAATAACCAAACACAGAGTTGAGTATTTTAACTACCTCTAGAACACCAGATAACACTTCTCGTGTATGTTGTGTCAACTACACCGATAATCAATCTGATGTTTCGAATAGGGCGCCGAGTACTTTAACTAGATTAAGAAAAGCCGATCGCATTGCACATGTATGTTGTTTTAACTACATCAATAATCAGTCTGCTGTAACGAACACGGGTTCGAATGCTTTATCTACATCTAGAACACCCGATACCACTTATTATGCATTACACTTAATTAAATCGATACCCAATCTACTGTAGAGTAAGCGTAGAAATAACATAATGCAGTATGATGTCCTATATATATCAAACCCGGATTAGTTCATATAGATCGCAATAAATCTTTCTTTACAATTCTACAGACACCCCGCTTACTGTACAACAATATTCCACGTTTTGACATTTTCTTCTGTACACTAATAATCCCAAGCTATATATTACACGATTAATAAATCATTTTAACTGGTGGATAGGCTTTTGTGATTTTCCTAACATCGACTATTTTTCTCGATAATTATTGTATATTAATAGATAATCGATATCAATCAGCGCCAATATACTTGTTTATAACTGGTAAGTCATAAACAATATCTGTTTATATTTAAAGGGACATATTCTTTCAAACAAAATCAAAAAGTGTGTGTGTGTGTGAGAGAGAGAGAGGGGAGAGAGAGAGAGAGAGAGAGAGATAGAGAGAGAGGGAGGGGTTAATATCCACTCGACACAAACTAGATCATTTCGGGACTAACATATGGTTCAATTTTATTTCATTAATTCTCTTGCGCGTAAGGTCTTTAGCAGTGGGATGAAACCGGAAGTCCCGGAAAAAACCCAAGAGGCTGGACAGGCGACCCTACTCTTTGTCACATACTAGCGGGGAATCGAAACCACGCCACTCGACTCAATGACAGATCTTATGAAGCAACGCACACGCGTTACCAATTGGGGAACCCACCCACTCTCACCCCACTTAAGACAAAATTGGATTTCATCATATAATTATAAGCGTTTCCATGGTGGCCGAATGGTCTAAAAATTATAAGCTCTAACATTGTGTCAAGTGGCGTCGTTTCTATTCTACGCTTGTATGAGAGTAGGATCGCATGTCCAGCCTCGTAGATTTTATCGCGGCTCGTCGCATAAATAAAAGAAGACTACCTTTATCACCTGTCCTAATACCTGTTAATATGCAACATTTTCACCTATTGCTATATAATCTCTCAATTGATCCCAATCAATAGATTTATATATCGATCTATCGATCATTGACTTTTATCAATAGAGTTATTATTTACAGGCGATATAAAAAGACAAAAGATATCTGTTTGTTGATGTCTGTTGATAGACTGCACTGGGATAGGATTACGGTTATTTTATAAACACAACCAAGGTTAAACAAAGTCACATTATTCAGCTAATTATTTATAGACTCTTTTGGTTAACAAAATGCTATGGTTCGCAAGGTCTCGTCAACACAAAACAAACATAAATTAAATATGGTAATTTTTAAAACGCCCATACGTATATATATATATATATATATATATATAGTCGTCACACTGTTCGTCCGTCCGTCAATAATTGGCTTGTGAACGCGAAAGATGCTACAGTTTTTGACGGATATTTTTAAAATTTGATGTCGGTCATTGTGGACATGCGACTACAGACCCTGTCGATATTCAACATTCCGCTACTTTTGCAGAAAACATTTTGAATGCAGGAAAAAATGAGGACTTTCCCTTCCCGAGTTACGGCCCCACCCATTTGCCGAAAACCTTGTGAAGGCGATAGGCTATAGTTGTTGTTACATCCTTTTCAAATTTGTTTGGAAGTATTGGGGTCATAAGAGGACACAGAGTTACTGTGTGAAAGCAATAGAGACTGTATCTTTAAATTTAGTGTGACACACCGGGGTAATGCATGCGAGGACGAGCCCTATCCACATTCAGCTTTGCATACCTTATTTTATGAGTCATCCCCCCTGTGCCGAAAACTTTGTGAAAACGGTGTGAAGCATAGAGATCACGAAAGGACGAACCCTATCGATATTCAGCGTTCCGTAACACTCCGTTGAGGAAATCTTGTAAATACGATAACTGCTGTAATTTTTAAAAGGTGTTTTCGAATTTGGTCATCAGAGTACAAAGCATATCGATATCCAGTATTCCCCAGCCATCCATCACAGAGTTACCCACCTTTGCGTATCAAATTGTGATGTTGAGACTTAGCTACATTGTAGACGTATTCAATACTTTGCGTGGCTTTCTTTTTTTTCTTAGGTTACCTGTGCAATGCGAGCTAGGAGAATTTGCTTGGACAGCAGTGTTTCTGCCTAATCATCTTCGAATCCGTCTGACAAGGTTTCCTTAATGCGCACGCGAATGTGACTAGGAGTGAACAGCGATTTATCACCCCACACTATAAATAGTTTTTACATCTACGCGAAGAAAGTTCAAGGGAGTGTGAGAACCGACAATATACAAACTGTATGAAATCTCACTTTAAATAAGAATAACTGAATATATTATGGTAATTGTGACAACTATATAGAGACTGTTTGTATAACTTACATGTATATTGTATTACAATAACTATAATTCTTCCTGAATGTATAGAAACTAAAAGTAATTTGTAACGTTCAACACTTCCTGGTATTTCAATACCGTTTATAGTTTCATATAATACTAATGTTATGGTTACCAACAAACACAGTTAAACATACCTTGTTCAATATTAATAGAATCAACGCGTTTTTTCTGATCGGGTTGTGCTTCCAAACACGTTACCAGACGGGGAGGGACGGGGTGTTACTGCGCTGCCCCGCCTCTCTGAGATATGATGTCCCCTAAAACACTATGTTGTACACATAAAGTTGTGCCCGCATTAGTGTTATTTTTTACAGGGCCAGGAATGCCTCAAAATTCACCATTGACACCGTGGACTCCCACCACCCTCCACCCACTACACGTGACCACCTCAGACCAGCCCCCACCCCTCCTTAAATAATATCCTGAGAATGTACCTGCGTAGTGTGGGTTTTCTTGGAGAGTTGTTCGAATACAAAAATGCAACAAAATTGCTCTAACCTATACCATCATACCCCTCATTCCCCATCCGGATCCTCCGTTATCATCCCACTGCTAACGACCCCTAACGGGACTGACTATACCGCCTCTAAAAAATACTGAGTAGTAGTTATAACCAAAATGATTATTCAACAAACGGTTCTATGGGTTATCTCTCTCTCTCTCTCTCTCTCTCTCTGTTGTGAAAATATCGCCCAGTCTTGTTGATACGAACTAAAGTAATGAATGCATGATATATTTATTCTGATTATATTGTCATATGTTTTAACGAATTGCTTTTTCTACTTTCAGTTAGTTCCTTCCATACTTCACTGCAGTTGACATCTGAAAATATAATATATATTACAGAACCCCTTTAACTTCCACAACTTATTCAAATCGGTTCATGGCTATTTAAAGCTTACAATGGTTTCATACCGTAATCGTTATCTATTTTAGACAAATAAAGTAATACTAAATCTGCAATATTGTTCGCAAAAGTTAGCACATTCTTAAAGATACATTCTCACGAACGTAATTGTCTGGTGGTTATTTCCAATAAAAGTATGGTAAATTTGGTATATGTAAAGTATAGACGCCCAATCGGACAAGAAACATACTGGCAACCCGACTTAGGGAGCGGTTGTTATTTCTTGATCGAATTGTTAGGCGGTATTGGAAACATTGAGGGGTTTAATCGTATACCAGACTCTGGAATTAAATGGCGGAAAGGAAGTTGGGAGAAAATAATTCAAGAATTTACTTAATATTTATGGTAAATGAACATTAAGTATTGACAAATACATTCTGAAAATGGGCCCTCCCTCAATCAAGTTAGGTTTTGTTATAGCTTGGGGTATCTTCGCGCGAATACAAAATTTTGAGAGGGATTTGAAGCAGATTTTTGATAGATTAATTAGTTTGAATATGTTTTTAGTCCAAATGCATCATCAAATCACTCAGTTTGTACGCGGGAAGGTATCTTTAATACACGTGCTTAATTTCATAATAATAACAGTCGTTATATATTGGATTTAGAATGGGTTTACTGTTTATTTAACCAGGTTTGAATCATTAGAACATGAGACGCGATAATGAATAATTCAAGCATGATTAAAAGGACGGCAAATCGATTCTAATAGTTAGAGCAGGAGGACCACACTAGTCGCAAACAAAACCAAACCTGCGGACACTGAAACACAAAACATTACAAGCAATAAACAACAACCGTACACGTATATATCAGATGAAGTCAATGGATCTGGGGCCAGTCGTAAGCGGCACTTGGCATGCTTGTTCAGTGGACAGTTGCGCATAGATTGACGGATTTTAAGATGGCGACTATGATATCATGCTCGCTATGGTATCGTACTTGTTAAATATACTTACACTGGATTAGTACTTGGCTTATTAGAATCATCTTTAACGACATATTGGTTCGCCAGAGTTTGATAACCTTGAGTTAATGTTGGGAAGCTGTTGACACTTCTACCATCAACCTGTATATCATCATGGCGGTCATCGTTACAGTTACCACATAACCCAGTTAATCTATTTCTATAACCCGGAGGAGTCTTTACTCGTACAATCATGCGCCCATCAAAACTCACCTAAAATATAGTATACCACTTATCATTTTAATGTATATACAACTATCAAAACAAACCTAAAATATGATATGTTAAGAAGGAAATGAAAAGTCCTACTTTTCTGCTACAACCGCGTTAATGAAGAAGGGCATACGCCTACTCATTATCAAATTCCAACTGTCAGAGGTTCCTTTGTTTGTGCTGCTCTACCAGTCTTCACTAGCCCAGTCGGGGCAGAACAGAAGGACGTTTAATCCCATGTTCGTTCCTATCGAAACGACAAGACGAAGTCCCTCGTCCTGTGCCATTGATAGTAAGGGGAAACCAAACAGGTAATCATTCTCGGTCAGCATCAGCATCGAACATCGGACATCCTGGTTAGTGATGCCACCTGATACCACTTCTTATGTATTGTATGTAAACACACGTCCATCAAAACTAGTTGCAAAGCCAGAAACATAATTATTATCGCTTAATAATAACTTTTCAATTTATTAATGATACATTATGGGAGATTAGATAAAGAGTTGGGAGTTCTCACTATAATAGTTAAAAACTAGATAATGTAAAGGGAATTTGCTGAAAGTTTCAGTCAAATTGATCCACTCTGAACCGAGAATTTAACGATTGAATTTAACGATGATCATTACTAAGGTCGGTACGATAAAAAACATAGTCTCGATTATCCATTTCATGATTTAATCATGAATGAAAGTTGAGCAGCAAATCGGATCCTAATCCAGTAAATATCGCAGGCTAGCGATGACATCGAGAGTTGATTAGGGTCTGGATAAGTTAATTAAAGTCTTATTAATAATTTAGATAGCATTTCAGGCCTAATGAAAGACCTGCAACAGGCATATTTAGCTCTTGCATAATGCATGTTTAATTGACAACAAACCGGTAAAAATGTCTCCCTGTTAAGAGGTGCTTTACAAATATTACCATTTGGTTTTTCGTCCAACCCGGAATATTAGACATACTTTCACTTACAATCTCGAGTAACTTTTAAACTAACCTGAACGCCACATCGTGTAGTTAATTTAACAAATTTACCAGCTTGTGTAACATTGACTTGTGGTGTTATAAACGGTAGTGAGGTAACGATACCATTAAGCTGAAACAAAAAATAAAACTTAAATGATAGTGGTTCATGTTTTGTTAAGCGTTGGGTGGGAGTGGCATGTTCTCCACTAACTGTCAACGCGATCTTACCCTAACGATTCAACATACATTTGTATAGCTATATCTGCTGGCGTTAATCTCCATATACGTTGTATACAACGACTCAAGTTTAGTAACCTTGCCGAAAGCCCGCTTCGCCATATGCAGATCAGGAATAATCTAGATTGGTAGATCTAGCTGTCCCACCATACCACGAATCATAAGAAACAAATCAGGGTAATAAAATGAATAATAAAAAGACTAATGAAAGCATGTACCAAAACACGTCCACCATGAAGCAGCCGTATCTTCTCTCCGCTAACTTTCACATCAACAAATTGTGTAAAGGCTCTGTTAGGATGATCTGTCGACGGGTGTTTCTCGTTCTTGACTTCCACATCAAATCCACATTTTCCATCATTCAACTCCCCTTTACTCATTGTGTACTTACAGTCGGCGTACAATTCTAGAAAAGCTTCATCGTATGTGGTATAATGGGGATCCCCTCTTCCTTCACATTCGCACGGTACTAGAAGAAAGATTTTTTCAAATAGATGACAAACAATTAACATGATTGATTCTTGCTAAATCTTAAGGACTCGATATGCTAACAGTTTTGTATTCACCTTAAAAATTTACTAAATCTCTTTGAATTAGGTCCAAAAAAATTTTGTTTTGGTAGATTAAGCGATTGTCGACTGTTGTTGATTTTAGTTTCAACATTGGCTGCTGTCTCGTCACATGAAAATACAATCAATTATATCACACCATTGGCTGTATCCATTGAACTAGCATTTGGGTAGCAACCCTTAATGCTTCTGACACAGAACAGAAATCACTGGTGCCTCCTCTAGCTCAACAGCCACTAATGCCTCTGGCACAGCAACCACTGGTGATTCTGGCAACGCAACCACTGGTGCGTTTGGCACAGCAGCCACTGGTGCTTTTGGCACAGCAACCACTGGTGCTGTTGGCTCAGCAACCACTGGTAATTCTGGTTCACAGCAAGCAACTGTCTTCGATCTAAAAGATCGTGCCATATTAAATTAGAAGGTTAATTAACTAATTAGCTACTCCAACGAACACTATTCTAGTCTTTGACACTGATGTGGAATTATCTAATATTGTAGAAAAAATTACCAAATTTTATAGGTTTTGTTTCAAGCTTCTGTTCAACAACTGGTGGTTCAGGTTCAGCGATCACTGATGGTTCTGGTTCAGCGACCACCGGTGGTTCTGGTTCAGTGACTACTGATGGTTCTGGTTCAGCGACAACTGGTGGTTCTGGTTCAACTGGCGGTTCTGGTTCAGCAACGACTGGTGTTTCTGGTTCAGCAACCAATGGTACTTCTGGCTCAGCAACCACTGGTACTTCTGGCTTCTGTTCAACAGCTATGGGATTTTCTGGTTCAGCAACAACTGGTACTTCTGGTGCAGCAATCACTGGTGTTTCTGGTTCAGCGACCACTGGTGCTTCTGGTTTAGCGACCACTGGTGCTTCTGGTTCAGTGACTACTGGTGGTTCTGGTTCAGCGACCACAGGTGGTTCTGGTTCAGCTGGCGGTTCCACAACGACTGGTGGTTCTGGTTCAGCAACGACTGGTGTTTCTGGCTCAGCAACCATTGGTACTTCTGGCTCAGCAACCATTGGTACTTCTGGCTCAGCAACCACTGGTACTTCTGGCTCAGCAACCACTGTTTGTTCTGGTGCAGCAACCACTGTGGGTTCTGGTTCAGCAACGATTGGGGGCTCGGGTTTATCAATAACTGGTGGTGCCTGAGTAATTTCTTCCTCTGGTTCGGTTGGTAGTGGAGGTACAGGTGAGGTTTGCTCTCCTTCGACCGTTGGTTCTTCGGGCTCTTCGGGTTTTTGATCTACAACGGACTCTGGTTTCTGTTCAACAGCTATCGGATTTTCTGGTTCAGCAACAACTGGTGCTTCTGGTTCAGCAACCACCGGTGTCTCTGGTTCAGCGACCACTGGTGCTTCTGGTTCAGCGATCACTGGTGGTTCTGGTTCAATGACTATTGGTGGTTCTGGTTCAGCGACCACTGGTGGTTCTGGTTCAGCTGGCGGTTCCACAACGACTGGTGGTTCTGTTTCAGCAACGACTGGTGTTTCTGGCTCAGCAACCATTGGTACTTCTGGCTCAGCAACCATTGGTACTTCTGGCACAGCAACCACTGGTACCTCTGGCTCAGAAACCACTGTTTGTTCTGGTGCAGCAACCACTGAGGGTTCTGGTTCAGCAACGACTGGGGGCTCAGGTTCTGCAATGACTGGTGGCTCTGGTTTATCAATAACTGGTGGTGCTTGAATAATTTCTTCCTCTGGTTCAGTTGGTAGTGGAGGTACAGGTGAGGTTTGGTCTCCTTCGACGGTCGGCTCTTCGGGTTCTTCGGATTTTTGTTCTTCGGGTTTCTGTTTGACAGCTATGGGATTTTCTGGTTCAGCAACAACTGGTGCTTCTGTTGGTTTTTGTTCTACTGGGGATTCTGGTTCAGCAACCACTGGCGGTTCTGGTTTCTGTTCCACACCTACGGACGTAGCTGGTACAGCAACAACTGGCGGTTCTGGTTCAGCAACAACTGGCGGTTCTGGTTCAGCAGCAACTGGCTTTTCCGGTTTAACAGCCACTGGTGGTTCTGTCTCAGCAATAACTGGTATTTCTGGTTCAGCAATCACTGGTGTTTCTGGTTCAGCAACCACTGGTGCTTCTGGCTCAGCAACCACTGGTGCTTCTGGCTCAGCAACCACTGGTGCTTCTGGCTCAGCAACCACTGGTGCTTCTGGTCCAGCGTCAATTGGTGCTTCTGGTTCAGCAACCACTGGTGTTTCTGGTTTAGCAGTCACTGATGATGCTGGTTCAACAACAACTGGTGGTGCTTGAATAATTTCTTCCTCTGTAACAGCTGGTAGTGTTGGTACAGTTGAGATTTGTTGTCCTTCGACGATCGGCTCCTCGGGCTCTTCGGATTTCTGTTCAACTAGCGGTTCTGGTTTCTGTTCAACAGCTATTGGGTTTTGAACAAGTTGTGGCTCTGGTTCAGCAACAACTTGTGGCTCCGGTTCAGCAACAACCTGTGTCTTTGGTTCCACTTTCTGTGCAACAACAATCGGGGGTTCTGGTAGTTCTTGTTCGGGCTTCTGTTCGACTGGTTCAGGTTCAGGTTTCTGTTCAACAAGAACTTGTGGTTCTAAATCTGGTTCCGGTGCTGGTTCAGCAATGACTTGTGGTTCCGGCACAAGTGGAACTGGATTGAATATCATCGATCGAGTTTTAGTTAATTTAGCTTTAGGTTTTTCTTCAGTTGGTTCCACTATTTCTGGTGTTTCTTTCACTTCTGGTTTTTTAAAAATTGGTAAAAGTTCTGGTTCCTCTATTACTTGTTGTTCTTGTTTGATAGGAATTTCTACGATATTCTCTTTTATTGGTACAACTAAAAAGACAAAAGTTTCAGATAAAATGTACACAATCAAAAACAAATCAATCAAGTATAACGTAATGTATGACCATTTGAAGTATACAGTTTTCACTAGTTTTCAAAATAATATAGTATATATTAGTGACGTTTGAGAACGATCTGATTCGTTGTGCCTTTAATAGAATTAAGTATTAGAAATTAACCTTTGAAGCATCCCCCGTTTGGAAGATTGGTATAGCCTTCATTACATGTACAAATAGGTTCGCCATTGTCTAGAGAACAGGTTGAATGATCAGCACAGTCGACATCTCTGGACACAGACTGTATTTGTGGCCCAGTCTCCGTGTTGGTACAGGTGTACGTCACTGAACAGTCATCAGATATATACCCAGCTCCAATCTTTATGACATATAAAAAATAAAATGAATAAGGCGTATCAAGTGATTAAAACGGCCCAAGCTACTGCATCAACTGAGCTAATGAAGGCGGACGGACATACAGCATGCAGTGTGTTATGCGTGCAATTGTTCTAAGCCATCGAATGCCACAGGTTGTATCACGCGCATGCGAACGAGTACACTGTTGTGCTTCAGTGTTCGTCCCATCCATACTTGCCAGGCCGTTTATCCTGCATCACCGATGAAATTTCTCTGCCAACACTGTGATCGAACTCGGAAACTCGTGCTAAATCAGTTATAGCTGTACTCACAGAGCCATCGTAACTCTATATCTCAAAAGATAACATTTCAAGACAGACATATACATTGACTCGACCCTGACTTTATACAGTCGAGGGCCTGCCATTGGAAAATTCTATCCTGTTTTATATGTGTCAAGGAGTATTATCCCCCGCACAACGCCTGGTGTTCTGGTTTCCGCCCATAGTTGACACATCAAGTACGTTATCTAATAATATTTACCGGGAAATAAAAGCCCTCAGTATCTGTACAACCACATTGTTCTACTTCAACACAGGTTTCACCACTTAACACAAACCCTTCATCACATTTACATCCTTCACTGAGATCTACTGGACATTGGTCAAGAGGTGGAAGACCTGAACATGTCTCCTGACAACCTGATATAGATGGACTATAGTGCATGTTCTCACTACACGTCAGAGCTGAAAAATAGAATCGAAGATGAGTTATTAGCCTCTATAGATATAAAACACACGTGGCTGATATATTTAAACATTAGGATGTAAAAATGTATAATTAATGGCCTTCTGAATAATAATAAAATACGCAGTGTCATTTGAACCTTTTTTAAAAATGTAACTGAAGTTTGTGAGCGAGTGGGGGGAGAGAGGAGGGGTGAGTGTTAATGGATGAATTCAAAGTAAATATCTCCCATTGATCATCGTAATAATCTAATACTAGATCTAAGTGTTTGTGAAATGTGACTGATGTTTGTGAGCTGGGAGGGGTATTGAACTACTGGTATAATTATTTAATATATGGTCTGATTTAAGTTGGTTTTTTTTTAAATGTAACTGACGTTTGAAAGTTGACGGTGTGGTATTGAACGGGTGTTCTGATACTGGTGTACTTGTAGATAGCACATGCGTATTGGATTCCTGTCGCGGGTCTTCAAGCAACAATTTCGCCCTTAATACAATTATATTTTAAAATATCGTCTACAGCTGACTTTTTCCATTTCAACAACGTCCATTATGTTTTTTTTAGAGAATTCTCCAAAAATACGACACTCTAAAAACGAATCAGCGAATTCAACTCATCTCCGAAAGCCGTGCACTACCGGTGCTTTAATATCTACACGATGAACAAGAAACAACAGAGTACTCACGGCATAAACCAGCTCTTCTCCATACAACGATAATACCAATATCCTCACAATCAGCAGCAAATGCTTCTAAAGATTTGCACACAGATGACTGCAGTTCTGCAGGCTGGTATTCATACGAGCAAGCATCATAGGTACAACCATCAAAATAGTCCATGACATCATCACCAAGTGCTTTGATACACTGGGCGAAGGGACCATCTGTGTTCTTAATCATCCCACATGAATCATCGGTACTAACTAATTTTGAAACTTTCTTACTACATTCTAAAGTTGGTTGAACTGAGACACACCTGGTTGAAATAAAAGCGAATGTATAAATTAATAATATGTCCACTTATAAAACAAATGTTATATTTATCTCGAACTTGTAAGCCAAATGATATTAAACTTAGTCAATAAATCGACTTCCGCTAAATCTTTGAAACCAAAATTGTAATCTTTTTATCATGGCGTAGAACGCCTTGCAATGTTTTCGATAAATATATTACCTAATTGGAGTTAAATCTAGTACTTAAAGAAAGGGAAAGATAATTTGAATACTCACTCGGGTTTTGCTTTTTGTGATGGTATGAGATAGCTGTTGCCTATCAACGCAAATCTTTCTTTAACTTCCGTTACGTCAGTTCCGTTAGCTAACCGGAAGTCATCTTTTTCTTTGTTACAATCACCACACAGACCTGTCAATCGACCAGCGTATTTCTTTGGTACTTTAACTTTAACCAGATGATTTCCATCAAACTTAACCCTGATACCACAATCAGTGGTTGCTTCTAAAGATTTGCCACTCTGGATGACGTTTAGTCGTCCACCAGCGACACTGACAGGCGGATAAGCTCGTTTACCATTTACCTGAATATAATCAAATTTGGTTAGGCTAAGAAATGAATTGAAATGGGGTTTAACGTCCTACTTTACTGCACCGACTGATGGAATGTCGAATTCCAACTGTCAAAGTTCTTTTACGAGCACGCCAATGCATGCACAGGACCATGGTTTGTCGTACCATCCGAATGACCTGAATATAATTAAATGGAGGGGGTGGTCTATAGGCTTCTGCCTGTTCTCCAATCCAGTTTCTGTGAATAAATATTGTTTAGAAAATACAACGAAATTACGACACGAGAATTGCTTGTCATTTCTTCAATTTTTAATTGAAACGGTAAAAACTTAGTGACATACCTGGGATGGCCATCCTATTACTTTCTTATATACACGGGGGGGTCAAATTCAGATCAAATATAACTTCTCTCTTTTGAAAAATCGTGGTTTGTTTTCATCGCGCTACTGAACATCAGCTATGTTTGACCTAATTATCTGGAATAGTCGAAGAGGGCCGTGGTCGCTGGTTTGGCTTTGAGTCGTTTCGGCCTAAGGGGGTTGTTTCGACTCCGTAGAATATAAGTTTTATTTTTACGGGATCCAAGACCACAGATGTTTATCCAACTGACTTGAATATTTAATTGGCCCCTAGGACTGTAACGTTTTGATAAACTACATACAAATTTATTCTGAACTGACCCATAGGCGTACACAATAATAACTGGTCGATAATATGCAAAAATCATAGCGGGAGGCATAGTTATTCATTTGCTTAAGACGTTGCCTAGAGTTTAGAGTGATGATCAAACTAATTGTATATGTAACCTAATGTCTCATGAAGCCTTCAACAAAAGTAAAGCTATTTTTATATAATATCATTACATAGACACGTCTTAATTAATCAAAGACCATAAAAAATATGTCTGGCGCATTATCGACCGGTTGATGCTAACGTGCCATTAAACATCACTTCATTTCATTTTTTCAATCAAGGTTATGTAATTGAGAATACGGTATTTGTGTCCGTGGATGGTTCCTGTTATATAATTTTGGCCTTTTCTGGTTTTGTAGATGTCCCTCCTTTAAAGCGAATTTTACGGAAGTATTTAATGCGTAGGCTATCCCGTTTTTTGTTGAATTTGTATAATATCGTAATTATTTTTTTTTCTTGAAATAACTACATAATAGTTTGATATACATTCATTGACATCTCGCGTAATTTTCATCTTGAAATAATAAATTGTAGATAACAATAATCAATTATTCAAGTTAAAATATCTGAAACAAATCCTGTGAGCCTAAATCATAAAATAAAATATTCATCACCGTTATTGTCCAATAAATGTTCTCTGGGGAACATTTTGGTAGGATTGCAATACTATGAATATCTATGATCCAATGAACTGTGAGGAATATTAAAATACCCGGCATTTATTTTGCAAAAAAAAGGGGTTTAGAAACAGCTCGGAAACAATCGAAAACTGTAACTACGATGCAGTCATGACGGGTTTCACCTGTGCCCGCTACCCGTTAACTGAAATATTCCCATATGAGCATGATACACGTGTTAAAAATTTACGCGAAATGGCCTTTATGAAAGCATGCTGACGTGTGGAACCTTTACAAAGTGACCAATGTGAAATCGGCCATTCCTTGGCAATTATTTTGTGATTATATGATCGTATATCTACACAAGTCAAAGTACAAATACTTACAAAAAGATCATGGTATTCTATGCAAATATAATCAAACTTACACAAAGATCGTGGCATTCTTTGCAAATAGAATTATACTTTCAAAGGGGTTATGGTTAGAAGTACATAAAGATTAGGGTTATGATTACAATATGATTATGGTTAGACTTACAAAACGATTATGTTTAGACTTACAAAACGATTATGGATAGACTTACCAAACGATTATGGATAGACTTACCAAACGATTATGGATAGACTTACAAAAAGATTATGGTTAAACTTACAAACAGTTTATTCCTGAGATGAAGTTTCACCTTGACGTCATATATTTTAAAGAAGACACTTCTAACCCAGGATACTTTGGGTTTATTATATCGAACTTCATTTTGGACTTCTACATCAAAGGAACACACGTCATCAGCTATCAATGATCTGGACAGAGTATATCGACATTTACCCATAAAATCGATCTTTTGTCCATCAAATGTGTGGAAATGTGGATCACCATTGGCCTTACATTGGCATAAATCTGTAAAATTATCCAAACATCTCAACCAATTAAACTGTTTTTTTCGGGTTAAGTAGGTAGTAGACATTTAAGTAGACCAAAGTAGCAAGTGGGTTCAAAAATATCGCAAAGTCGAACTTTTGTGGGCCTACTATATCACCGGTTCGAGTGCAAACTTTGTGTATATAGTATGGCCATTTATATGTGGTATCTTACACTGGTATTTAGCGAAAAAGGTGAAATTTGTTCTCAATGAGTCAGTTTGGTACACTAATCTGTTTCTGTTACATTGCTCTTAATTCTTAATTTCTTAGGTTAATGATACCCGTTTTATTATTGCATGTTATAAACAATTTTATATTTCATTTAGTGAACAATCGAGGTGTGAAAAATACTAGCATAAAGTACAAAAGAGTTAAAATATCAATCTACCTTCGTTAGCTTTCTTCACTTGATCCACAACAACTTGACCTTCCTCAACTTTAATCTGAGTTGATTCAGCAGCCTTCTTCCGCTTTCGTCTTCTAGATTTATTTTTCTTAGATTTAACCTTGGATACCTCTTTAGACTTTCCCTTTGACCCTTTTTTAGATTTAGCCTTGGGTGACTTTATAGATGTATCCTTTGACCCTTTTGTAGATTTTCCCCTGGTTTTCGATTTTAAACCGAGTGAAGCTTTTCCTTTGGCCCCAAGACTTACACCACCAATGTCTAAACCAGCGTCAATTCCAACTTTCCCTCCACGCTTGACACCTTTGGATCCCTTTGTCTTGGATTTAACCTTCGATTTCGTAGCTGACTTTCCCTTAGATTTACCTTTGCCATTCCATTTTAAACCCAGTGACGCCTTTCCTTTAGATCCACGACTCACACCTCCAGTTTTTAAATCAGAACCAATTCCAAGCTTTACACCAAGTTTGACACCTTTGGATCCCTTTGCTTTTGATTTTGCCTTCGTTTTGGATTTCTCGTCCGAATGGCTTCCGAATAGATGATGTCCTGTAGATACAAAAAGCTTAGGATTATTATTGTATCGGTTATCTCAAATACAACCGCCATACTTGTTTTCAATTTGTAAAGAAAACATGGCGATCGCTTTGGGCAGACAAACACATACAGGTCACGCCCACTTCCGGTAAATGCCGTATCAAGCAAGATGTCCACATCCGGTAATAACCTCTTGACTGATTGAAGTTTTTTCACTATAAGGTCACAGAAAATATTATTGCTACACAATTATTATGTCTGATCAGGTATATATTATTTTACTAATTAGACAAAATAAATCAACCTCGCTTGTCGTGAAAAAATTATAACCGAAGGTCGCCCAGGTAGTTAACTATATACTAACCAGGTAGTTAACTACACCGTCAAAAATAATAAGGTAGTTTACACCAATTCGGGTGGAAACTAGTTGCCACCTAAATAGGATTAAGTCGTAGCATTTAGTGGTGTAAACAGATAACACCCAACTATTGTAGAACGTTACACCAATTTAGGTGGAAAATAGTTGCCACTTGCAGTACCGTAACCTGCCTGATGCACTCAGACAGTGTAATGTTACACTTAAATAGTTTACACCCGTGGGTGTAGATTAATCATTACCCCACTTCCATTTTAATTATTACACAAGCGCGGGTGTGATTTGTTTTGTTGGATATTTACTTCAAGCAAACGATTTCTAAGTTCAGAAAACTTGAAAAATTGGCTCTCTATTATAATTAGTATAGGACGTTTAGCCCGACCCAGATTACATATAGACCGTTAGCTATTTCGCTTCATTTTACAATTTAAAAATTGACAAATATCCATCAGACTGATTCAAATTTAACTGCTGTTGGGCATTTAGACAATCTGTATCAATTTACAATGAATATAAATCACGAGGAAAAATCAATACACATATCCTTACAACTTAGCTGAAAGTTGTGGTTCAGGCCCGGCGGAGTAGGGTGGCTAGGGGGGGGGGGGGGGGCTTTAGCCCCCCCCCCCCCTCCCCAATATTTTGGCTGCAAGTACCCTTTTCTCCAGGTTGTTGCACGCAAGTAACTATTCTATTAAAAACAAAAAGGCTTGAATTTAACATAGAAGTGAGTAGAACTGAAACTGAGAGGGTCGCGATTAGATAACTGAACGGTCGATCTTTATTTCAAGTCCATCTCATGTCTGTTGTATCTATGACATATTAGGTAATTAGAAAAACGACGGGATAGAGTTTTATTTATACTCTTTCCTTGTGCCCCTTATTCATCAAATAATTCACTGCTATGGTCAGTTGAAACAAGCGGTTGCCATGCAAGATATGCCCACATTTTGTAAGAAATGGACGGGGAAGGGGTAAAATCAAAAGGGCTATCCTATCATTCAAGATCATTTGATCCTTAACATATTTAAGGTTCATCAGAATGGGACAACAATGGTAGCCCCCCCCCCCCACCTGGAGTGCCTACAAAATCCGTACATATTTCAGATTTTGCCTGAAAAGCAGGGGCTATAGCTCTAGAATGTAAGGTCTGATGCTACCAAAGTCGAACTGATCCAAGAACTTTTGATCCGTAACACACAGTTGAAGTTCATAGTGAAAGGTACACAAACTTCATTCATATTTAACAGTTTGTGTAAACGGCAGGGGCAGATGCGCAAGCAAATGGAACCCACCCATGAACTAGTGATACTCTTTTTAAGTTTCATCTAAATCGGATAAAATTGTGACCTCTAGATGGTCCACAACCTGGGTATTACATGATTTTATTATACTATTTTCGAAAAGGGGGGGGGGGGGCTATTTGACGGGGAAGTTTCGCTCCGATTTTGCGGAAATAATTATTGTGTAACGGTGATATATTTGAACAGTTTTGAAAATAAGATACAAATTATGACCTCTATAGATACTAGCCAGGATACTAACCATGTAGTTAACTATACTAACCAGATAATTAACTATATACTAACCGGGTACTTAACTAAATACTAACCAGGTACTTAACCGGGTAGTTAATTACATACTAACCAATATTTTTTATGACATTCTTCACACCAGTTGCTACTTTATGTCCTCCTGTCTTCATTTTAGCAAACATTCCTGGTAATAGAATAATAGAAATGCTGGTTAAAGGTCTCCGGAAAAGCTTCATACATTTTTTAAATAATGCAAGTAATTATGTCAACATATCCTTTCCATAAGTATAACCCGAATCCGGATGTCAATACTAGTAAATTTCAACGTTAGTAATTTCCGCCGTTTCCCGTAGGTATTCGTAACTTTCCTTTAATAATAAAAATCCGTGACGTCATTTTAGCTCTTCTGCTCATAGAAGTATAGACAAGAATATGAGCAGAAGGACTAAAATAAAGCCATGGATTGTTTATTGCCGGAAAGTTATGACTAATCACGGAGAACGGCGGAAATTACTAACGTTGAAATTTACATGTTGCAGGCAATGTTGACAGTCGGGTTCGTGTTATACTTATGGATAGGGTATGTTGACATAATTACTTGCATTATATAAAAAAAAAATTGAAGCTTTTTCGATGACCTTTAAGTTAATTCACTAGCACGGAAAGAAGATGGGGTTTAACGTCTGATCAATCCAATGAGGTTTAACGTATCGTCAATACAATGGGGTGGTTTAATGCCCCGTCAATACAATGGGGTTTAACGTCTCGTCAGTACCTCGAGGTTAAAGTCTCGCCAATGCAATGGGGTTTAACGACTCGTCAATACCATAGGGTTTAACGTATCGTCAATACAATGAGGTCTAAGGTATCGTCAATACAATGAGGCTTAACGTCAAAACAGTGAGTTTTAATGTCAATACATCGAGATTTAACTTTAAGCAGCGTTTCGGTTTCCACCTCGGTTTTTCGTCCCATCGCGAGAACTACTATGCGCCTTTCCTTGCCACGATTCCTTTGCCAGGTGAGGTCAAGTCTTGCATAAATAGCTCACCACGTATACGAGAGATGTCACAGGTGAATTGTTTGATATTGTAACTCATCTGTTCACACCATGCGAAGCAATCTATAGGGGAGATAACTCTGTTGATTCAATTGGAATCGCACCATATGCTACTAAGCAATGTTCTTTCATCTCATTTTACTCCATTATTGGGAGGGACATTTGATTCAATTTGTTCAAAGATACTCAACCCAACCCAACTTTATAACAAAACGAAATACTACTTACCTGTTATCGATTTCCCTGTCTTCGACTTTTGTGATTTCTTCGTTTTTTGTGATTTTTTCGTCTTTCTGGATTTTTTCGTCTTTTTGGATTTTTTCGTCTTTTTGGATTTTTTTGATTTCTTGAACCATCCAAATCGTTCTTTAAATTATAATATAAAATGTTAATGCCCTACATGCTCAGTAGACGTGGCATAATTTAAACTTTTAGATTATTTGTTCTAATAAGCAAATATTTTGTATAAGATTTTAAATCGTATAATGAATTGAAAGTGTAAATTTCCAGATTAAAACGCGACGATAAAATGATTCTTACTTTTTCGTCGTAAAACTGTCTGACTATCGTCATCATCATCTGTAAACAAGCAATATCGGTATAAATCATTTACAACACGTCTATTGGGCCATAAACAACACCTCTTTTAAAGATGTATTATGTAAAATTTCAAAAAATAGATGACCGTTCTTGTTAAAATAGTTTAAAACCAGGCAATGAACAATAAATATAAACTGTATTGAAAAATTCATTCAAATTACTTTATTCTGAACGAAGTTAGAAGTGTTTGAAATTTTGATAAGAATGGCATTGTCTTGATTGCCATTTTATTGTTAGATTAGGTCCTAATCTATTCAAAATCTAAGTCATCCAATGACTTAGAGAGATGATTATTGGCTAGAAATAAGACCCACTTAATAGGCAGATTTGGTTCTTACATAATGCATCTTTAACAACAGTTATATCAGACCTTTTCACATACATATGTAGAGAGAGAGTATAAACAAATGAAACTACATACATGCCAAGACTGCATTTCTGGGCTGTCTCCTAATGAAGAGGGGGGGCGGGGCGCATGTAAAGAAATCAACTTACGGTTTACATTCAGTTTTAATCGACCATGTCCGCCTAATCTTAATCCTGGAAATAAATTGGATAGGTAAAACACTGATTAAAATGAAAAAAGAAAAAAAAAGTTCTGGAATTCTGGTAATAAATGTGGGTAATTTCATAAATACGCTACGAAATTAACCATATCCATTATTGAAAAGATAAAATCGAGACAATTATAACAAACTGACTTCTTCTGTAGGAATAAATCAAATACCCCAATAAATACATCAGTTTAAAATATTCTGAAATGAAATGTCCTAGTTTGCAGCACCGACTGGGCTAATGAAAACGGGGTTTTGGATTGTCTTAGATACAGGTCCCCTAAATGTGCTGTTTTCAAATGTTTTCAATAAGAAGAGCACCTGTATATATATAGTAAGTACAAGAGGCGTAGGCCATAATTGGCTAAGTGCTACATGAACTCTCAATGAAGGCAAATTGACGGGAAAATCTTTTATAAATAATCATTATCGTGAAATTTAGTAAAAAGCTAAGCAAATTTAAACGGCTTTATGTATTATAATATAACGAGCCCTTTGATCGATACCTCCGCCCCCACCCATCCCAACCTGGTTATATTACTATTCACATTAAGGGGTAACAATTAGTATATGCAATTGAAAAAAACAACATTTTTCTAACTACAAACTTACTTCCAACATGTAGACCGAGGCTCTTCTCCACGTTAAAACCAAAACCTGCAGACAAGAAAAACCGGATAAATACGAAAGCCTCAACAGACCAGGTTTAATTA